TGTGCTATTCCCAATATGGCAGCTATAGACACGACACACTTTTAATTTAACCTGCATTATTAACATTTTCCCCATCAATGGTTTCAATACAGACACTCAACAAAACAATAAATCATAGCCTGATTTGTAGCATTTGCCATTGTATGGGGTAAATACTCCTGCCATGGCCTTTTTCAAGCTACCAACATAATGTCATTAAACATATAGTCAGGAAGAGATGTGCAGTAGTACACTATTATGTAGTATTTCCACCATATGGATGCTATAGTTGTAAATAATCTCAAAAGATGAATGAATGAATGGTAAAATGTAGCAAAATCATTAGGAAGTTTTGAGTACCTATTATTTTTGTTTTTAATATTGTTTCTTTGTATTTCCATAATTTAAGTTTTAATAACTATGCTTAACAACCTGCTCAAGAATTTCTGAAAATGCAGTAACTGACCTTTGCAAGTTGGTATGGAATAATATCACTGAAATAATATCTGAATGAGGAGGCTCTGTACTTGCAATGTGAAGCCTACTTTCCGTGATAAATTTGGCATGTGGAGACATTTAGACATGTACCCTTTAATTAATGAAGCTTTTAGAAAAGGGAAAACAATGTAAAATGAAAGTTCAAAAGATATTAAGCAGATTATTAATTAATTTGAAATTATGTATTGAGTTCTTAATATATTCAAGATGCTGTAATGGGTCCTAGTAATACAAAGGTAAATAAAGATATAATTTCTGCCTTTGAGGAATGCAGAGTCAAGTTGCTGGGCTAGATACATGGGCAAAGCACATACTGAAAGGACTATATCATGACAAAACAGAAATATGTTCCAAAGTCTATGGAGGAAGAAGAGAAGGAGGGGAAAAAATTAAATGAGCATTTCTTGAAAGTGCAGGCCTGCATTTTGGAAGAGGTGCCATTTGAATTGGATTTAATGGATGGGAGTGTATTAGGTAAAAATGAAAAGTTAAAGCAAAGAATATAATCTTAAATAAAAGCATGAGACTATAAAATGGAATATGAATGGGTGACTCCTAAAAGTCAAATGCTAAAAACCTATTGTGTAATTAGCATGTCCTAGTTCATCGGCCCAAGGTACAAACACAATCGCATCATTTATTACTTTCATAATTATTTGTCCTTTTTAATCCTTATTTGCCCTTATTTGGTGGACATGCATCCCTTATTCCTAAGCTCCACCCTGCCCCATGGATTTCTATCATTTCCTGGTTCTTATTCAGGCTTAGAGGAAGGGATAATAGTCCTTCATTCCTACTTTCATACACAAGGTGGTAATACACAGTTGGGTTCCAACATCACAGCTCTCTGACGCAGGTCCTTTTTCCAAATAAATGGTACCAGATGAACCCAGCTCTTCTCCACAACACTTAGACCTCTCATTAGACACTCAGGTGTGAGTTTGACCTCACCTGGCTTGCTCTCAGGATTGACTCTACTTGGCTCCTAGTGCCTAGCCTGTGAGCAGAGCAATGCATAAGAAGGGAAGTGGTGACTGCTTAGCTACACGAATTTGTACAATTAAGAGAAACCACTGAAAAGCCTATTCACAGAACAAAGCATCGCTCAAATTGACTTTCCGTTCTACCTATATTGAGAAGCAACTAGCAGTTTCCAGATCTCTTTCTCTTTCTGTGTGGGGTGACACAGTGAGATATAAATATATATACTAAAAATGAAAAAAATATCTATTTTCTGTCTTAACAGGCTTCCTACTTAATGTCTGCTTTAAGAGTTTCCCTATTATCACCTTGATAAAAAGCAGAGTGTTCTGTAGTTACTACTACCACCTATGCTTTATCACTTTAAGAAATTATGTGGAAATAATCTGATCTTTGCAGTGCTTATTCCTTATGTGATCCCAGAGTAGAATAACATTCTTAATCCTTGATTCTGTCTGATCCAATCTCAAGTTTGAAAATACAGTAATACTGATCTCTTTAGAATATAAATGTGATTACATCAGTCTCCTATTTGAAACCTTTCTCCAACTTCCCATTGCCCTGAAATGGAAGTCTTCAATTTTCCACATGCCCTACACAGAACAGCGCTGCTCCTGCTCTGGCCTCACCAGGTCTCTATTCTTCCCCTAATCTTCCCTCTACCTGTCCTTTATCTACACTTAGCTTCATCCCCTTCAAAATTATTTTATTTCCCCCAAAATTCTCTGGCTTTTTCTCACTCATGCTCTTTCCTCTCTGTCCAGAGTGTTTTTCTATTCTTCTCTCCACCATCTTCTCTTCCTTCCTTGAATTTCACTACCTGACACACAGCAAGCCCAAATCAAGGCTGGTTAGAGTTCTCCTAGGTGTCCCCATAGCACTATAGATACACTCGGTACTGGAGACCCAGGCAGGGTGAGGTAGTCAAAGAACAGGTGAACCAAGATGACTGAGAAAGCAAATTGCTTCTTACATGGGTGCAGGAGCCATTTTTTAGGTGTGGCAACACAAGGCCTGCAGGTAAAAGAAATGAATAATTACAAAATTATGAAAATAATAAATAAAAGTGAATAAAAATAAAGAGTTGATCTGGGAAAGAAAGTAGGGTAATGAGAGGCAGTAATTCACGTTCCAATCAGGAGGTCAACTGGCCTCTCTGCTAAGGAATGTCAGATTCCTTACTTATTATTTATGAGGTCCAATATTTAATAAAATTATAATGAAAAATTAGGCAACACCTGGAGATTTCTATTTATATACTTAACGCCTATATGAGTTATAAGATATAGGCATTAAGTCCCACCTAAAAACTTAAACTTGGTCTTGTAAAAGACAGATGGTGTAAATTATTGATATATACATTTTTAAAACTGTAATACATCTTGATTCCATTAGCATGTAATGTTAATCATCATAGTAGGTCACATTTTGAGACTTGTTATTGAATTCATGACTACCTTGGCACTATAACAGATAGTGCTGTTGCAAAAAAAAAAATAGTGCTCTTATAAAAATGTAAACACAAAGAACTTTTTTTTGAAACTGTTTTGTATTGTTGGTTGACACTTACTGTAGAAACCTACAATTGATTTCCAATCAATGAAATTGTCATTTATTCATTTTGTAATGTAAATATTCTCTAAAGGAGAGGGAATTTTATACTAATATATTTCTGTACAAAAATTAATAATAAAGAAACCTCCTTGGAGCCTCAGTTTGTCTCTTAAAAGTTTGTAGATATTTTCTGGACTTGTCTTATCTGGTCTTCAGTGATGACTACTATATAAACAATCTGGCTGGGCGCGGTGGCCCACGCCTGTAATCTCAGCACTTTGGTAGGCTGAGGTGAGTGGATCATGAGGTCCAGAGTTCGAGACCAGCCTGGCCAACATGGTGAAACCCCGTCTCTACTAAAAATACAAAAATAAATTAGCCAAGAGTGGTGGTGCACGTCTGTCCCAGCTACTCCAGAGGCTGAGGAAGGAGAATTGCCTAAACCCGGTAGGCAGAGGTTTCAGTGAGCCAAGATCGCACCACTGCCCTCCAGCCTGGGTGATAGCAAGACTCCATCTCAGTGGAAAAAAAAAATTCAAGTCTGTGAGGAATCTCTTAGAGAACATGCAGACATAAGCTAAAATAGAGAAAACAATATCATACCATCTTAGAAATGTTAGAAGAGCAATAATTTTTATGAATTATTCTTAAGCAATGAACATAATTAATAGAATACAATTAATTTTATCCAAGAAAAATTTTGTCATTGTGAAACTTGTAGAATTAAGTCACAGATACTCATGTTCTAGTTTAGAAAGAGTACATATAAGTGCATTTTGCTTTTCTCTGTGTTTATATTGTAGAATCTCTCGTAAGCAAATTTCAAGAGATATTTACTATCAATGCATAGCTTAGCTCTGAGACTTCCAGTACTTAGGAACCTATTCCTTGCTCCTTAGGGTGACAGAGTTCTCAGGGCCCTCTGGCAACATTCTTAAGTATTTATGGATACCATAAATTGAGAGTTTGCTTACTTCAAATGCCAGCAAAGGTGGTGCTTTTTCATTTTCACCCCTTCACATGGTGGCCATCCCTGAGAGTTTCTTTGCCCCAATACAGACTTACAAGACCCCATCTTATCCCTTGATTTCAGGTTCCATTTAGCAGTAGCAAGGTCTTAATACTAGAATCTACTGTAATATTTCAGTTCTCTAATGCTGACTGAGGTTTGATTAAACCAGGTGCTTGTAAAGTGGCATAAAATATCCAGAAATAAACTTTACCTTCTACAGGCATTAAATTTACTTCCACCTTTTAGACAGGGACTTCAATTTACCTTATTAAATAACTGACCAATCTGTATTCACCATTCAAACATTCTAAGTAGCATATTGAAATAAACTAATATTCACAGTAGTGTAATTGATTTTACCTGTAATGAAAATCCCAAATATTTATTATCATGATTTTTCATTTGTTTTTAATGTGTTTTTCTACCAGAGTATGTGTTAGCTTCTTTAATTCAAATATTATTCTTTACAAATTAAAACTATTTTAATAGCATTCTCTCAGGATCTCAGATTTATGGTTCCTTTTTCTTTGCAGCCAAAGATTTTCTATTTCCCACATTCAAGACTGAGAAACACCTTCTATCTGCCCTATAAAATCTTATGATTAGCAACATTATGTGCCCTTTGATATCATGCTTTGAGAAGAGCACATCACCTCTGTGGTGTAATTCGCAATCATTCATGACCTCAATCTAATCATGAGGTAACATCAGGCAAACAGAATGGGAAGATGTTCTGTACACATCTGACTAGTCCTCTTCAAAATTTTATAAGTAACTCACATTCCATTAAACAAGCCATGTTGTCGAAAGCGCACATTCTATCAATTTGACAAGACTGAAAATCTCTGAAAAATTATTCTTCTAGAAAGATGTTTTATTAAATCAATGAAAAGTGATCAAAATATTACCTGCCTGTTTGCTAAAATAAGAGTGAACAAATAGTTTTATAACACATTTCCATCACTTCTCTCTGCAGGTGACTCTGCTAATCTAACATGCAGAGCTTTCTTTGGATACAGCGGAGATGTCAGTCCTTTAATTTACTGGATGAAAGGAGAAAAGTTTATTGAAGATCTGGATGAAAATAGAGTTTGGGAAAGTGACATTAGGTAAAAATTTTTTTCTTTTAACTTGTACAGTCAAGATTAACATTTACTCTGTTAGTGAATAAAAAGTAAGCTGAAAGGAAGTGTTTTATTTATCTTACTACTATCATAATAAAATACTACAATATTTAATGACAAATAAGCAAAACACTGTTAAGAGACTTACTATGGAATTGCAAAACATGAATGCCATTTGCAAATAATTTAATAAAAATAACAAGGATTGTTTCATTAGGCAATATACTGAGTGTGGCTTGGTGTGGTGGCTCTCACCTGTAATCTCAACACTGAAAGACCGAGGTGGGTGAATTGCTTGAGGCCAAGAGTTTGAGACTAGCCTGGCCAACACAGAGAAGCGTTGTCTCTACTAAAATTACAAAAATTACCCAGGCATGGTGATGCATGCCTGTCATCCCAGCTACTCGGGAGACTGAGGCACAAGAATCACTTGAACCTGAAAGACAGAGGCTACAGTGAGCCAAGAATGTGCTACTGCACTCCATTCTGGGCAACAGAGTAAGACTCTGTCTCAAAAAAAAAAAAAAGAATATACTGAGTGTGAAATTAAAATACCATAAAATATAGAAAATGTGTTAGTGTACTTTTTGTTTATGAGACCTTTTTAAAAAAAAGAAATACGTTCTTTGGGAGGCTGAGGTGGGTGGATCACCTGAGGTCAGAAGTTTGAGACCAGCCTGGCCAACATGGTGAAATCCCATCTCTACTAAAAATACAAAATTAGCGGGCATGGTGGCAGGCACCTGTAGTCCCAGGTACTGAGGAGGCTGAGGCAGGAGAATCACCTGAACCCAGGAGGTGGAGGTTGCAGTGAGCTGAGATCACACCATTGCACTCCAGCCTGGGCAACAAGTGCGAAACTCTGTCAAAAAAAAAACATTGACAGGAAACATTAACAAGGTACAATGACTCAAGTGAACACAACTCTGTCATTTCCTTTTATATATTTGTACATATTTGAGCCACCAAGTGGCGTATAAGCTGTTGATGGTACTGATAAGGATACACAAAATGTTTTCATCACCTTTCTTAGTCTGATTTTAAGGTAGAAATATTTATATAGTAGGAATACTACCATGAAAATATTTGAAGTCATAATGCCTAAGGCTCTTTTTTGTTCAATGTGTTTATGTATTTATTCATTTAAGTATCAAGATATTCAGTGCCGACTATAATTGTTCTTGGGCATGGATAGTTATTTTTAATCATAATGTAAATACGCAAGAACATTAAAAATAATAAGCAACCACATCAAAATGATGATTACTTCTAAGCATCCTCCTATCTAAAGATTGCATCTTCTAGGTATATACAAACATTTTAATTATGGTCCCCCCTTCTAAATGTCAAGACTTTTAAGACTTTATCAAAGGTCTAAGAGAAAATGATTTTCGATAGAAAATGACATATGACACTGTCACATAAGGTTATTTCTATTGAGATCTTCTTTCAGGCAACAAATACACAAGAATATTCTACTCTAGAATGCCCCCATGGGATTCCAGAAGGCCAGATGGACAATTGTCCAATATGTACTAAAACATTTATCTGCTGTTTTTTGTATTTAAAACTTTACTCTTATATTTTATGCATGGTTTATGAAATGATAAAATAAAGGAAAGACAATGAACCTCCTAATCTTTACCCCCTCTGGCTTTGTGTGTATTCAAGGAAGTTCCTAGAAAGGTGGTTTACTTTAATTCTGCATTAAAAAAATGTTGAACAGAGATGACAGTGAGGTTAGTGAGCATTTCCCATTAATTTTAAATGTTAGAGTTAAATACTTTACCAGAACTTTTAGTCTACAGGTTTATAATTTCACATTTCTTCAAAAACAGGCAATTTGTTAGTATCATGAACATAAGTCAGACTGAAAATTTCAACTAAAATGTCAAAATAGCTCAGAAATTTTCTTTTCTTTCTTTTTTAAAATATTAATCTGACATGTAATTAGACCTTCAGCCTGAGACATTAGAATTTTTATCTCAACTCACATAATATTTCTTCTTAAAGGGAAAGCAATTCGTAAACTTTTTCTTCAAGGTCTTTCTCACCTCTTTATTATGACAGCGTGATTGTCCTGCTAAGGGAGATAATTAACTGCAACTTCATTAGCATCTACAAAGACAGGCTTCCTCATTAGAAGTGAAGAAGAAAAGGGCATGATATAATTTAATTAACATAGCATCAATTCCTAGCCAAATTTGAGGCACAGATTCATCTACATTTCTTTTTTGTTTGTGTATGTGTATGTTTGTGTGGATTTTTGTTTTGTTTTGTTGCTTTATATTTTAGAATTCTTAAGGAGCATCTTGGGGAACAGGAAGTTTCCATCTCATTAATTGTGGACTCTGTGGAAGAAGGCGACTTGGGAAATTACTCCTGTTATGTTGAAAATGGAAATGGACGTCGACACGCCAGTGTTCTCCTTCATAAACGGGGTGAGTGTGACCTTCTAAGCTTGAGTGATCAACTGAACGTATGATGGGAGAAAAATCATTGGGAACCAAGAAACAAATTAAATTTTGTTTTTCTCCACAAAGTTATCCTAAATAAAAGAATCATATTTGCATTAGAGCCACCAAGCCAAACAGCACAGTGGATGGGCAAGTAACTCAGTCTCTAAAATCAAATTTGGATTCCTTGCTCTTCATTAATATCAACTGTATAACTTAGGGCAAAGCATTTAAATTCCCTAAGCTCTAGTTTTCTGATATATACAATGGGGAAAATAATAGTAACAACTCCTCAGTATGTTGTAAGAATAAAATAAGACAAAAATGTGAAGAGCTTGACAGAGCCTATACAAGGAAAGTAGTTGAATGCTATTTATTATTGTTAGAAATAGATATTAGGGGCCAGGCGCGGTGGCTCATGCCTGTAATCCCAGCACTTTGGGAGGCCAAGACAGGTGAATCACTTGGGGTTAGGAGCTCAAGAGCAGCCTGGCCAACATTCCAACATTGTGGCTGGTATTCTCTAGTAAAAATACACATATTAGCCAGCGGTAATGGTGCAAGCCTATAATCCCAGCTACTAGGGAGGCTGAGGCAGGAGAATCACTTGAGTCTGGGAGGTGGAGGTTACGGTGAGCTGAGATCGCACCATTGCACTCCAGTCTGAGTGACAGAGTGAGACTCTGTTTCAAAAAAAGAAAAAAGAAAAAAAAAAGAAATAGATACTAGGTTCTAAAAAAAAAAAAAACTCTAAATGGTTTTAAGTCAAAGATTGTGTTTCTTAGTGGAAGGTTGTTCCTTTAGTACAAGAACTGTCTGGTGAATTCTCCACTGCAGTATTTTTTGGCATGTTGTTTCTGCCTCAGATAACTTTTTAATGTGTAATATCCTCCCATGATGAATAATAATGCATTTTTAAGAAAGACAGGTTGTGGGTGAGTTTAATATCTGTGGCCTCTATAGCACCCCATCACCTTTTGGATAGGGTTAAATGCATTTAAATGTATATTGAATTGTTTAAAATAAGAGACAACTGTAAAATGTGAGCCATGCCTGTTAGTAAAATTATTTATGTATATTACAAGAGAAAAATATATTTTTCTACCTTATGCTAAGTTAAAACTTTCTACTCTTTGGAACAAGCACACTCGATGTTCACTTACTCAGCAAATTTGCAACGATTTTAATTTCAAAGCCCATGTTTAATCCTAGACTCTTTGATGTTTGAAAAGAAAGAGAACATTGAAGGCTGTTCCCCCTACTTTATTGGGCAATAGATTCCTTTGAATAATATTACTGAATCCTATTAAAATAGACACCTCTGTTGTCAAGGTGACTATGATATTAAAATAGTCTACTTTTTAGGGATGTGAGTCAAGGGGAAAGGTATGCAGCAGCTAGCAATATGATTGTTGCTTTCTATAGTTTAGTATATGGCCAATGAAGGAAGGGATTTTAGTAGAAACATCATATACATACAAGGACAGAAATAGCTTCTCATAGTTAAAAGCAACTTAAGTGTTGAGTAATGGAACTTCTTATCCTGCCATATCATCTTCTGAAGTGATCTATCAGCTTATACTAGATCACATTCCCTCTCAAGGAAGCCCATTTTATCTTTGGAAAAATCTGTTAGAAAGCATTTCCATTTCACTGTCTATCCATTGACCCTAGTTCTGTACTTTTAATGATTCTTCCCCAAGACAGCCCTTCAAATGTTTGATGATGGTCGCCATGAGCCTCTGGACCTTTACTTCACTACTTTCAGCCAGCAGTCACCATGAGCTACTGAACTTTTACTTTATTCAATACAGGCTCTTTAGCTTCTTTTACTCATTCTTCACTTGTATTAATGAAATACTTTCACCTTGTGTGAATTATTTCTCAAAAATGGAGTTAGGGGAGAGAAGATATAGGGCACATAAAAATGTGTGGACTTGGACAACATATATTTCCTTTTGGGGCAAGGGGTTAAGTAGGAATCAAAGGAGAATGGGAGGAAAATGAATTGTATCTAAGGATAAAACTATTAAAGCTCTGGTTTTGCAGAGAGGCACACAGCCAAGAAGGGATCAAACAACCTCCAGGCTATTTTCAGCATACATAGCTTAAGGTTAAGTTGCCCAAAGCTATGAAACCTTCCATTTCCAGAAAAAATAAATGGAGAATCAAGAAAATTATTTGAAATTTTTTCCAGTAATATTTGATTCCCTAAACATGAAAAAGAAAAGTGGTCAACGTTTGAGTTTTCTTCATACTTAAGTCTTTTGGTATGTTTTTCAAATATGCATTTATGCCAACAGAATTTTATTCTTTTTTTTTTTTTTTTTTTTTTTGCGATGGAGTTCCGCTCTTGTTACCCAGGCTGGAGTGCAATGGTGCTATCTCGGCTCACTGCAACCTCCGCCTCCTGGGTTCAAGCAATTCTCCTGCCTCAGCCTCCTGAGTAGCTGGGATTACACACATGCATCACCATGCCCAGCTAATTTTTGTATTTTTAGTAGAGACGGGATTTCACCATGTTGACCAGGATGGTCTCGATCTCTTGACCTTGTGATCCACCCACCTCGGCCTCTCAAAGTGCTGAGATTATAGGCGTGAGCCACTATGCCCGGCCCAGAATTTTATTCTTAAGAAATAAAAGCATTAACAAGCCAAAAGAAAAAAAGTCCTTCCAAGACCTGTACTCCAAAAGTTCCTCTTAAACTGAATGTAGCCTTCCTTTTAAGGGAGCTGCAGCAAATGAGTCATCAATTCACAAAGAAACCAATGGATGCAATTTCCTGCTCTTGAGGGATTCATGATTATGTGGAATGATCTATCCCCCTCTTCTTGGTGGGAAAATAGGATTTTCATTCACATATGACATAACCTGAACTTCACCAGACCTGCAAGGTTCAGTAGAACAGGACACAGCATGTCCGAACTGATAGGTTGAGGACTTTGATCATAGAGTCCCTAAAAAATCAAATGTCTTTCATGCTAGCAATGATGTAATTATCAGGTGGGTTGCTATATTACTCAGAATACTAAAGCTTAGATAAGGAACTGGGAGGCTTCACTATTAATTATATTTTTCTGCCATTGACTCATAAATTCCTTAACTTATAAGCCTTCAAAGACTTCCCTTTTAAAACCTCCCTAGAGAGACATGTTCAAACAGTTGTTGAATACTGATCTTGTACACCACAAGCTGTCATTGCTTCTGACAGGTAAACCTTCCAGAACATTCCTTTGCTGAAGTTATCTAAGCAATTTTTCCTTCACTGTTTTACCTTTCGTTCCGTATCATTGACATAATAAAATGATTTCAGAGCCCTCCAATGGATGGTATGGATTCTTTGAAACATTGCTCCCTTGTATCAAATGTGTCTTCCTTAATGCCAAGGGGATACTATAATAAATAATTCAGCTACATTTGAGCTAGGCTATGTTCTGGGTCAGCCTTTTATCTTCATAAAAGAATCATAATTCTATGAAAGCTTGCTGAAAATCTACCAAGAAATTTGACCATAGAAAAACCTTGCTCGAGAATATCCAGTTACCAATTCCTGCAGCCAGGAAAGGTACTAGGATCATCAGAATCTCACTGGACATGCAATATAGATATATTTCACTTACTATACAGAGCACTAGAATATGCAGCGAGACAAGGTCAGAGAATGAAAGGGTAAGACCCATGTGCCATATTGGTTTATGACTGCCCTGCTCCTTACTCTTCACTCCTACCAGAGCTTCTATTCAGTCCTCTTTGCTAGTCCCTGGCTTGGCAAGCTTGAGCATTAGATCCTGACTTCAAAAATAATCGAAGTTAAGCACTGACAAATTAGATACTGAGTTATTTCTTCTTGTTATTGCCTGTACTTGATTGAATTCCATGTCTGAGTCTCCGAAACTTTTACCCAGATACACTTTCTGATTGCTACTGCCTGTCTCAACATGCACTGAACACTGACATTCAGTTTTCCTCCAAAGCTCTGATCTTTCCTATTCATTCCATTTTTTACATTTTCCATTTTTCTGACACAAACGATACTACAGGTAGATACCTAGCAGCTGTGCTCTGACCTCAGGCCTAGACATTCTTGTACCCATCAGGCTGTCTCAGATGACTCATTCACTCTCTGTGACTTCTGTCTATACTTTCATTCTGAATGACCTCACAGTGTACGCATGTTTAATATATTCATGGTTAAGGGCATGGACTTAGGAGTAAGGCTGGCTGTGCCCAAAACCCAACTCTGTTCTTACTAGCTGTGCTATCTGGGGCAAATAGCCTAATCACTTTGAGACTCAAATTTCTCTCCTATAAAATGGGAATAACAATAAGATCTCTCACATAGAGCAGCTGTGAGGATTCAATGAACTCATATGTGTAAATACTTATCACAGTGTCTGGCACATACTTAGCACCCCAAAAATGTTAACAAGCTATTACAAGATTTCCTTGCTCTAACTATGTGATACTCTGGATAATGAAATACGCAGTAACTGTGTGTTCTATTAAAAATTCCCTCAATTCTAATTCATCTTTCATTAAAATCATCAGCTTTAGCTCCAGCAATTTTGTTCCATCAATTCTAAATTTTACTTTATAATAGATTTAATTTGGTTTGAATGTACTGTCCTAAAGAATAATTTTGTTTATTTATTCATGCATTTAATGATGGCTAAGAACCTACTATGTGCCTGGCATTGTGCTAGCCAAAGTTACAGGCATGAAAATTAAAATTAAATGAAAAGGAAATAAGGACCAATATAATTTGGAATGCCATCAACTACTTTTTAAATTACACTGATATGAAACATTCCTAATGTATGATTGTGCTTTCCTAGTGAATGTTTCACTTTGTCACATTGGGGATGTTCATTATCAATCCTGCTCTGAAGGGTTATGCTTACTTATATTGATTACAATAATATGGCAATTCATTAATCAAAAATTAGTTTGGGAACTGGCATAGTATCTATCTGAGAGACTCAGC